GAGAAAGAGAGCGAAGGAGCAAGGGGGGCAGAGAGAGGGAGAGACAGAGAATCCCAAGCTGGCTCTGCACTGTCAGTGGGGAGCCAATGTGGGACTTGAACTCACCCACAAACTCCGAGATCATGACCTGAACCGAAGTCAGACACTTAACCCACTGAGTCACCCAGGCGCCCCAGAAAATATTCCTTTTAAATACAGGTGTGTTTGGGGCGCCTGGGTGGCTCAGTCGGTTAAGTGTCTGACTTCGGCTCAGGTCATGATCTCACGGTTTGTGGGTTTGAGCCCCGCGTCGAGCTCTGTGTTGAACGCTTGCTCAGAGCCTGGAGCCTGCCTCGGATTCTGTGTCTCCTCTCTCTGAGCCTCCCAGTGCTCACACTCTGTCTCACTCTGTCTCTCAAAAATAAATAAATGTAATAAAAAATTTTAAATAAAGGTGTGTTTGAGGCAACAGGTGTAATCCAGAAAGTTGAATATAAACCAGGCTTTTAAAGAATGACTTGTATAAGAAAATTCATTTGTATAAATATGAATGCATTCCTCATAATAAACATGAAAAGCACAGACTTGAAAAAATCTATAACCTCATCACAATAAATAACTGTGATTTTTCTCTTAGTCATTTTTCTATGCATGTATATGTAAAGAGGTTTTTTTTTTTATATTTACAAGACGGAATTCTATGAAATATGCTTTTATATCATGCTTTGCTATTTAAGATTTTGCTATGTCATTGAAGTCATGGAAAACAATTTTAAATTGAAACAGCATGATTTATGTAACTAGTTCCCTTCTTTGACATATAGTTATTTCCATTTTCTCATTATAATGTATAATGATACTGTGAACATCCTGCTCGCAAATTTTTTAACCAATCTTATTTTCTCAGCATGTATCCTGGAGATATCATTTGCAAAGAATTGGAAACATTTTCAAAGCCCTTGACTTGTGTTGCACCGTTGCTTTCTAGAAAGATTGTACCAGTTCACTTCCCTCAACAGCACGCGATGGTATCTCCTAGCGCCCCCTGCAGGCCTGTGCTTGAGGAGGCAGTGTAGCTGGTGGTGGGAGCTGAGCTGTGGAACCTGAGGGGGGTCTCTTCAACACTAGCTGTGGGGCTTGAAATAAGTTATTTAATTTTGCTGAACCTCGGTTTCTCAAATGTAAGTGGGATGGCACGAGGACAAGTTGAGTTGGTAATAAATCATTTAGCATATTATTCAGTACATAGTAAGCACTTAATAAATGTTGGCTATCCAGATAGTCGGTAGTTAAAAGGTCTATCTCACTGTTGTAATGGGCAATATGATATCTCATGTCATTTTATTTTGTATTTTAAAAATTAGAATTAGTAGGGGCGCCTGGGTGGCGCAGTCGGTTAAGCGTCCGACTTCAGCCAGGTCACGATCTCGCGGTCCGTGAGTTCGAGCCCCGCGTCGGGCTCTGGGCTGATGGCTCAGAGCCTGGAGCCTGTTTCGGATTCTGTGTCTCCCTCTCTCTCTGCCCCTCCCCCGTTCATGCTCTGTCTCTCTCTGTCCCAAAAATAAATATAAAAATGTTGAAAAAAAAATTAAAAAAAAATAAAAATTAGAATTAGTAATGATATTTTTATTTATTTTTTTATTACATTTTTTTTATTATCACAAAAGCAGTCCTAGAAAAATGAGAAAATACAAATCAGCACAAGAGGGGAAAAATATTCATAATTTCAACAATTTCAATTTCTTTAAAAATTTTTTTACTGTTTATTTATTTTTGAGAGAGGGAGAGAGAGAGAGAGAGAGAGCTTGAACAGGGGAGGGGCAGAGAGAAAGGGAGACACAGAATTTGAAAGAGGCTCCAGGCTCTGAGCTGTCAGCACAGAGCCCAACGCGGGGCTTGAACTCATGAACTGTGAGATTATGGCCTGAGCTAGTCGGAGGCCCAACTGGCAGCCACCCAAGCACCCCAACAATTTCATATTTTTCATGACTTTGTCTTTGCAATTTTTCAAGAAGGGAGTGTTATTTTATTGACAGCTTTCTTAATTTATTCCCTGGTTGCTGTACCTTTTTATATTGTTACTTTTGTTCTATTTTCTCATCATTTTCATTTATGACCATGTTTTAGAGGGTGAGAGGGTTAAAAAAATCTTCCCACCTTCTTCCAGGTGGGCAGGTTTACTGTTTCAAGTGGCCCTGCATTTGTGTGCCAGGATTCATGTGTCTGCCTCCAGTCTTATTGGTCCTGATGTAGAGAAAATTCCTCCCTATTCTGGCAATCACTTCAATGTGCCCCAGTTTTCACTGTGTTATGCTTTCTTTTCCTCCTAATTCCTAACGGCCTCCCATGACTCACCTCCCACTGCTTCACTGGGGAGTCGAGAGAGGCTGTCTCTGTTAGTGCGTGGGGGCCTGTGCGGGCCTGGAGAGGACACGTCCCAGCTAAGCGGCACCCTCTCCTCAGCTCTGGCTTGTGGTTGCTGTGTGGGAAATCGAATTTTATAAGAGGCTGGAAATCTAGATTTGTGTGTGAAATTTCATGATTTTAAAATGTTGACTTAAATATATTTAAACATATGATCGGTGATGGCCAAATAAGACAGATCCGTGGGCCACATTTGGCCCACAGGCCATGGTTGGTTACCGCTAGATGAGTCTGGGAGGCCACAGTGCTCCAGGCGGGGAGTAAAGAGGGTCTGAGTCTGCACCCTACATCCTGGTGAGGAGAGCTGTGCTGTCTGTAAGGAACCTCCTTCTTGTTCTCAGCATAGGAGAAAAGCTGGAGGAAAATTGTATTGGATCCTTGCGAGATGAGATTTTCCTGATATCTTTACACAGTTGAGAAAATATTTTTCTCTTGTCAGCTGTCATACTTCCCCAACTCTACACAGACTGAACCGGCAGACTGGATGATGGGTGAAGACAGAGCTGGGACTTTGCCCATCTTCATTTGCTGCCATGTTTTGAAGCACTGGTGAATGGGAGCCTGTATCATGATGGTGCCCATGGGATTTTTAATTTATAGAAGTGACTGAGTGACAGCACAGACGGACGAATGCCATTGAAAGAAGATTTTTGTTTTAAATATAATTTATTGTCAAATTGGCTAACAGTGTGCTTTTGGTTTTGGGGGTAGATTCTCGTGGTGAAAGAAGATTTTTATTACCTATATTTCCTAAGAGGAGGAGGCCTGCCACGCTTTGCACGGCCATGTGGGGATTCACCAGTGTTGGTGCGTATGAAAGGTGTGTTCCAATTATCTTAGGAATTGACCAACCCAGGGAGGGGCAGTCTCTCCCTGGCTAATTAGGCCCCCGAAAATGTCAAGGCATCATAAGACATAGAAAATAAACAATAAGATTAATATAGAGTTCCATCAGTTCTAGAAGAAGCCTGGATTGACCAAAAGAAGGTTAATTGCTAAGAGGCCCAAGTGTATTGTGTATCTTGTAGGTCTTACTTCATTTAGGTTTGATCATGAGAATAGATCAGTTCTTGTGCAATTTGGAGTCAGCCTCATTTCCTGGTTCTCACACACCAGCCTGACATTGTTGTGTTTGGATTCACAACACGGCCAGGGGATGTTTACATCCCCACCCAGACAGCTGTGCTCATTGAAAGAGAAGGAATGATGATGGTGTTTATTTCTAGAACAGCAAAACACTGAAACCCCTGGTCTCTAAAAATAGGTCACAATTTTACTTAGAGGTGAACTGGAACTGTTTACCCAAACTCAGCACTGTCTGACAATGGTTTTCCAAAGTTCGTGTTAGTTGAAAAATGGTCTTAGATTATTGTTAAAGTTTCAAAAATGGCAGGTATTGGAAATTCTGCGGAACTTTCTTTTCTAATCAGAAAATGTGGAGGGACAGCTGGGTGGCTCGGTCGGTTAGGCGACCGACTTCGGCTCAGGTCATGATCTCATGGACTGTGGGTTTGAGCCCCGTGTCGGGCTCTGTGCTGACAGCTCAGAGCCTGGATCCTGCTTTGGAGTCTGTGTCTCCCTCTCTCTCACCCTCCCCGGCTCCCTCTCTGTCAAAAAATAAATAAACATTAAAAAAATGAAAAAAAGAAAATGTGGAATCATGGTTACGGAGTAGTTTCATGTAGTCACTCTAAATTAGCCAAGTCTGGGGAATCATGGATATAGCTGGTCCTGTTCTCATAATCAGAATTGCTTCATAATGGCTGGACTCTAACCCTGAAATGTTTTCAATGTCACTTTAATCCTAACCACATTGGCTGATTTAGGAATAAGCTAAAGGGTGCAGGGAAGCGTACTTGACCAGTAAGAGGCCATTTCTGATGGTCCTAGGCAATCGAGATACCCCTTTTCGGGGTTGATTTTTAAAATATTGCACAGTTTTCACCCTGCAACTCTCAGGGTAAAACACAGTTCTGTGGACAAGCTGAGGTCTCAGGGAAAAGGCTCAGGTTGGGGGTTCTTTGTGTAACAGCAGCATCTTTTCACGGGTTAACACTTCCTAGACCCAGCTTCAACCTTCCCACCCCTTACAGCTGTATTTCTCACATCTCATATATTGCTCTCATTATTTTAAGAGCGTATATTGGAAACACAGTAAGAGAAAATTTTGATAGGTCTCAGGAAATTAAGTTTATTAGACAGGAGCAACCTCTCCTTAAAATACCAAAAGTCATGAAAAAAATTAAAAACAAACTTTTAAAGAGCCTCAAATATGTTTTCCAATGTTTTCATTCTTTGGCCTGCAGAAACAGTGCTGTAAAGAGGTTCAGATTTCCATTATCCACATGCAAATGGAATCCTAGAATACTGCCTGAATTTAAATTAATTCTTGGCTTCCTTGCTGATTCAGGTTATCTAGGTGGCACAGACTGCTGGTTGCCTACTCAGGATCTATTCTCTCCTTCTTCCTGAGTGACAGATTTTTCACCGAGCACATTGCTGCTTAGCATGAGCCACATTTCCAGATCCCCCTGTGGCGTGGAATGGCCAATTAGTTCCAAGTAGAATTTGTTGAGAGCGTCTTCTAGAAAGTGCCCCTGATGACCAGGACAGATGGAGGCAGGACATTTCTTCTTGCCCATCCTTACTTCCTCACATGCCTGCCTGGATCATGGACTGGATGGCTAGAGCTTTGGTAATATATTTGGTTTTGAAGTGACCTTACAGATGGAGGGTCCTGTGTTAGGAATGGTGGAGCAGGGAGATAGGAGTGTGGGTCCTTGATGGTTCTGTGGTTCCACTAACACCACTGTAGACCGCTTCTTCCTGGACTTTCTTCCTGTAAAGGAATAATAAGCTTTTATCTGGTTTAAGCCACGAGTCCTATATGATTTACTGTGTTAATTAGTGCTGGCCCTGTTCGTATGACTGAGGATTGAATATATTCGTGAATTTCACTTATCTAATGTGTAATTAATGCTTGTTGAAAGCAAATGCTTCCTGGACTAAATGTGATGTTTATATAAAAGAATTTTAAAAACCCAGGTGCCAAGGAGAGAACTTGACTTTTAAAAGCTTCTGCTAAGAAATCATATTCTCTAATTTCCCTAGCTAGCAGGAAAACTGTACACACGCACATGCACACACACACACACACACACACACACACTGACAGACACACACACAGAGACTTGTTGACTTTCAGCACAGCAGACCTGTGTTTGAATTCAGGGCTATGCCTCTGATCAGCTATTTGGTATCAGCTGTATGACTTTGGGCAACTTTCTGACCTTGTGAATAGCCTCTTTGTTCTTCACCTACAAATTGGGGAAGAGTAGGTACCTCACATCTGTTGGACGGTTAAGTGAGATCATATGTGTACAGCAGAAGCCAGTAAAATATAGTGGGCTGAGTTGACATAATAGAGCATGGGAGAAAAATTTAGAGAGTTGAAGGGAGGGACAAAGTTCCCCAAATAGACTCAATCGCCCTTTTCATCAGACTTCTGCATCAATATTTTAGTTGTTCTCTCAATTCTCGTCCCTTGCTCTGGGGACTCAGCCTTTGCACTGTTACCTGGTCGGTCTTCTGAGGCCTGTTTCTGCTTTATGAACCTGTAGCAGCCTGGCATCTGGGACACTGCGAGATCTGGTCAGTCCTTTGGTCTCCAGCATCATATCTAGCCCTTCAGAACCTAAACTTCCTGTTTTAAGTGTCCCACCTTCTTCCTAGTTCACAGACATTTCCATCCCTATCTGGGATACCTTGGGCCAATCCTCTGTCCTTGTAAACCTACAAAGCCAACTGAAGCCCAGCGTCAGCGGCTGTCCTTTCCCTGCCCACGAACTATGAAATGTAGTTGGTTGTTTGTTGCCTTATATTATTCTCTGAAGTGTGAAAGTTCCCCTGGCTTCCTCCCTGCATCCCCCCTGCCCCCACCTCTCCGGCCCAAAAGCTGGTTTTATTTGCACTTGTCTCTGTTAGGAACATATTAGTTGCGTGTTTGATCCAGAAACAATTATGGCAGGCTGTTCACAGCCCAGGAGAGGCCAGCAGACTACCTCTCCAGCTGCTCACAGAGAGGCGTTGCCTATAGGGATTTCCCTTCAATCCTTCAATCTTCAGGGCAAAGGAGCCTAATTTTATTCATTTTCTCACTCAGTTAATGTTGACTGAGTTTACCATAGGCACTAAATTCTTCAGTAGACCCAGTCTCTCAAAGGCAGACTTACAGTAACCAAATTATTTGTAAATTAAGTAAACAAGTCAATTGAAAATAAGAAGCAGAATCACTGAAGGATCTAGAGTGGAGTTCTTGACCCTCAGCAGCACGCTCTCCCATCTCCCACCGTGGGCCTACAGGAGGGTCCTGATTATCAGCAGAGGTTGCTTGGTGAGTTAAAGAAACAGCGTGTTTCATGCCTTGGGCTCCAGTCAGCCTGATGCACCTGTCTTCCCATGGAGCTCTGCATGCCTCTGGATCACATAAGCCGGTGCTGAGTGCAGGCCATCCTCTCCCTTGTCAGGCATGGCCACGGTCCTGTGGCCGGTTAACCAGCCCTGCTGCTTCTCTACCCAGCACTGCAAATGATCCGCATATTCGGGGAGGTGTTCTGAGTCATTAAAGTACTTGGCCTATTTTTCCGGGTACTGGGTTTATATTTTCTCTCTCGAAGTCTCTCTGACATCTTTGTTTTAAAGTTTCTTTGGTGTGCATCTAAATACGGACAACAGCATTCTCTGAGTGCTGCCGCGTCCTGTCTCGCTACAGACAGCATGGAGTGTTTCCCCAGATTGAAGACTGGATCCAAGAAGGGCGGCCTTCAGAAGATTTACACCCTGAAGACCATTCTGTTTCACCCGAAAATGAAAAAAACAGTGGCTGTGTCTTCGGATATTAGTGAATTCTAAACGATTTTACTTGAAAAATGGGGCTAAGCTACTATTACCGTTGCTCACTCGCTGGCTGTCCTATCCTTACTGGGGTTCTCCTCTTTATGTTCTGGGCCACATGTGCAGGAACGTGGGTTCAAGATACAAGAGTCCCGGGGACCACGTCTTGGATTATGGTAGGCGTACGCAGCTCTCAAAGGAAAACCTCCCAGACTCATCTGGAGCATCTGTGCTTTAGTGGCTGCCACGGAAGCGCTTTAGCAGTTTCTCTAAAGGAAGGGTGATTTGTGGATTTGCGTCCCGACCCGAGGCTGTGACGCCACCGCCAACGTATCACGTAATGCCTTTGGCTGGGGATCACGGCAGCCTCTGTGACCGAGGTGGCGCGCTGTCCTCTTGCTGTGGTTTCGAACAGGACGTGACCTCCGGTAATTTAGCAGCTGTTTCTATTTCTCCTTCCTTGAGACGGCTCATCCTGCCTCTAGCCGGTTGCCTGGGAGGAAAGAGGGAGGAAGGAAAACACAGAAAGGTGGAAGGAAGTTCCTTCCCCCACACTGAGTGGCCCGTCTTCTTCCTCGGAACACTCGAGGATTCGAGGATTCTTTTCCATGTGTCCTGCCCTTGGCCACCCCCACCCCCGTGCGTTTCCCCTGCCTCCGCCCCCTCCAGCTTCATCACAGCTGGCCACACAGACCTCCCAGCTGCAACTCTAGCCCGCCCCGCCTCCTTCCCAGAACTGTCTGGGCTGTAGGCAGGAAACGATTAAGCAGCCCCCAGTGCTCACGGCCCACACTGTCAGGGGACACGTCCAGACACCGTCCCCACCCTGCTCACCGAGGATGCACGTCCCTCTGCCGACTGCTGAAGTGCCTCATGGCTTGGGGACTGCGGCAAGCCCTTCCTGTCTCCCTCCCTCCCGTCTGCTGGGGAAGGACACTGGCAGCTGACTTTTGCAGATCTGAGTCTGTCCTCCACTGGGGGTCCTGGTTTCTTTTTTTTTTTTTTTTTTAATTTTTTTTTTAACGTTTATTTATTTTTGAGACAGAGAGAGACAGAGCATGAACAGGGGAGGGGCAGAGAGAGAGAGGAAGACACAGAATCTGAAACAGGCTCCAGGCTCTGAGCTGTCAGCACAGAGCCCGACGCGGGGCTCGAACTCATGGACCGTGAGATCATGACCTGAGCCGAAGTCGGAGGCTTAACCGACCAAGCCACCCAGGCGCCCCTGGGGGTCCTGGTTTCTAAGTCGGCCTTTGGGACTTTAGAGTAGTGACCATAGAGAATTCTGAATCCAAGCAACTTCCCGATTCTGCAGGGTCAGGGGTGGCTTGCAGTGTGTTTTGGGGGAGGCTTTGACTGTCCTTCCAAATCTCCACAGCACTTACATTTTTTGATATACGTAACTGACACTTTCTCAATCCTTTGTAAAGTACTAGCTACCTTCAGCTTTTCTAGCCCTCTTCCAACAAAATTGCTGCCCCTAAGCCCTTCTTGAACTGTCATTCTGGAGTCACCATTCTGAATGGGACTCACCTTACTGTTTCCCTAAACCCAAGCCCTGACCAGTGCCCTCACACATGCATCCAGCCCACCTATCAGGGCTCTGGCCGCGATGGGCCTTGGCTTCCCATTTTCGAGGGCTCTGCCCTGGGATCTGCTGTGGGATCATTGTTCCGATCATTCCTGTTTGTCAGATCTGGTGATTTGCCTGCACTGTGCCCACGCTGTGCTCAGTCTTTCCATCCTGAGACTCAGTAACAGTTGCCTGTACTTCTGAACCAGCTGGCTGGGGTGGGGTTGGGGCGCACAGGAAGGATACAGAGTTGGCATCTCTTCAAGCCGACGATCTTTAAATTCTGCTCAACGCTTATTTAGTGGGGACAGGGACAGTATGGAAAAGAGCCGTTTCTGATTTTTACTTCAGAACCTTGTTTCCTTTTGTGGCAAGGGACACAGTTTACCTTTGACCGTTCTGTAATGAGTCTGGAGTGGTGGTCTGAGTTCCAATGGGCCACACTTGCAGATATATTCCAGTAAGATCTTAGCATTCCTTGTAGTTGAAGCTCCAGACAGCTTAACAGGGCTCTGGGCCTTTCCAAATATCTTTGGCACCTGGACATACCTCACCCATCGCCAGGCTGTCTGCAATATGTCATGCCAGCCTCTGTCTGTGACTCCAGCTTGTTCAGTTTTCCCATGTAAAACACCTTGCCAACCCACTAGCCTTGAGATGCAACTAGCACGTTGCAAAAGAATCGTAGCTGTTAAAAATGAGGAAAAATTTCGACATAGAGCCTGTTCTCTGGGGCCCAGCGGAGTTGCTTCTCCAGGGCTTTCGCTGGTCCAGATGACAATGACCCTTCAAATGAGCCTTCCATCTGATCCCTCAGGGCATTTTTCTATGCTCGTAAATTTTGCTATCAAGACAATTTTAGGGAGGGAAAAAAAGTGCATTTTTTTGTTTCTTCTCCAGGAAATTGATTTTGACATTTCCACTCTCACGGGAAGATTCTGATGGAAGACATTCCGTACAGCTGAATGACTGTGTGACTTGAGGTGGACTCAGAAGTCCTCGAGAAAAATAAATGAAGTGACCAAGGTCCTTTGAGGAAGAATCTATTTTATGAGGGTCTTCCAGACTTTGAAAAAGGCACAGGTATAACTGGGTTCAGGGGGCCCAACGGGGTCACAGAACGTGACCAACTGTATTTGGGATCTTCTCACGTTGAATGCAAGGTCGGGAGCCAGACTCATCATCCTGCCGTTTCCTCGCTCAAGGACCTCTCTCGCAGGATGTGATGAGAAAGTGCAGAGGCCCTGCGGGGAGACCACCAGCATGTGCATCTTGGTTCCACCAGGAAAATGTCCCTTGTTCTGTGCTCCTAGAGACGTATGTCCAACCTCAGCTAAGGCAGGTGCACATTCTATTACAATTAGACATGTGTGCTTTCCTTTTCCACTAGACTGTGCACTTTGAGGCCAGTGACCGTTTCTTTTACCACCGTCCATCCCATGATGGGCGCTTAGAAATGGTCTTTGCCCTCCCTTATTCTACGTGCAATATGAAGCTGTCAGTTCAGCTCATTGCAGCCCGAAGGAAGAGACATAATTAGCCCATTTTGCAAAGGAAGAGATTGAGGTTTAAGTTCTTAAATTACTCACCCCAAGACCTGCAGTTAGCATGTGGGAGAGCCAGACCCCGGAAAATGACCCCTACATCTATTCCAAAACCCAAGCCCTTGGGCCTGCTTGTCCAATCATGAGCAGTGCTGGGAGTACATTCAAACTGTGTGGTTGACTGAGGGAATGTGTTCCTTTGTCACAAGCTTGGCTAAAAGTGTTCCATCCATCGTCTTCTAACTTCTCTGATAATCGCGATGCATTCCTTTCATGCTGTTGTCTTCTGAGGCCCAGAGATTTTTCTCCCCACCAAATGTATCTCTTTCTCAAGAAGCTCTTACCAAATAAAGGACATTTAGTTGTTCTTATTTCTACTTTTCTGACCACACTTTAAAAAATTTCTTTCTCCGAGCATTTCAAATCAGTTCTGGATAAAAATATACAGCTTTCTGAGAAATGTGGCAATTTTGGCCCCTGTGGGAAAGTGTGACTTTGGCCTCCAGTCACATCTTTTATGGCCTCAGAGGGATGCTTAATGTGGGAGGCAGCATGGGCTATTGCTCTACTGAAAATATAATCAGGCACAAGTGGGAATTAAATATGACTGTATTGTTTCGAGACCATCAGAGACAGTCACACATGTCTTTATTCATGGGATCTATTGGGGTTGTGAGTTTGGGGGGACGATGGGGTGTGGGGAGCGAGAGTAGTGGATGCTGAGTTAGCAGACCCCAGTTGTACGTGTATTTTAGTGAGTTTGAAAGAGTTCTGCTTTGGCTTTGTGTGCTGACACACCCCGGGGTGAGGTGTGGAAAAATCATCATGGCTCAGTGGCTGGGGGTTTCAGAGGTAGAACGAGACACATGGGCCTGCTGACTGGAATCCCAGAAGATCTGGAGCCGAAAGATGTGGTGAGCCAAACGGGCTGGGTGTGCGTGAAATCTGAAATCCTCCCGGGAGATTGGGCAGGGAAGTCTGCCACCTAGTTAGTGAGTCTAGCACTTGTCACTGGTTGATCCATTAAAATGATGTTAATCTGGTTCAGTGGCCTCTCTTGGCTTCTCAGCCAGAGAAAGCTCACAGTTTCCAGTGATGCTGGGAGAGGAAAGCGGAGCCGGGAAGTCCAGCTTATTTCTGAAGTAAATAGAAAAAAAGAAGGCCAATGTTGAAGCCACCTGTGCAACTCTGTGAAGGGATGAAATACTTTTAGTCAAGGGACTGCTCAATTAAAACGATAGCATAACGCACACACACGCACGCACACACGCACGCAAACACACACGTGCAACCAAACCCAAATGCCTTATGGTGAAGCCTGGAACCACTGGCCAGCTTCTGGCCATGTGTAAATTATTTTACTTTTCACAATGATTGGTTCAAAACTCAAGTGTTGCTAGAGAAATTGGAGAGGCTCTTCATCCTGTCTTTACTTGAGCTTTGCGGAAGTTCTGCTGGTATTAGAGGGTTAGCTGTTTGCTACCTGGCCCTGAGCAACTTTTATTTTTTATTTGTGCACCATATGAGCTGTTTAATTGATTACTTGTGTTAAACATTTGCTGAATGCCAGGTGTCCTATTAGATACAGGCATACCTCATTTTTAAATAAAGTTTTTTCAAGGTTATTTATTTTTTCTGAGAGAGAGAGAGAGAGCATGCATGGGAAGGGCAGAGAGAGTAAATCCCAAGCAGGCTCCATACCATCAGTGCAGAGTCCCATGCGGGGATTGAACCCACAAACTGTGAGATCATGACCTGAGCCAAAATCAAGAGTCAGACGCTCAAATGACTGAGCCACTCAGGCTCCCCTAGGCATACCTCCTTTTATTGTGTGTCATTTTTTTTAATTGTGCTTTGCAGATGTGTTTTTTTGTTTGTTCGTTTTTTGTTTATTTATTTTTGAGACAGAGAGAGACAGAGCGTGAACGGGGGAGGGTCAGAGAGAGAGGGAGACACAGAATCTGAAACAGGCTGCAGGCTCTGAGCGGTCAGCACAGAGCCCGACACGGGGCTTGAACTCATGAACCGCGAGATCATGACCTGAGCCGAAGTCGGACGCTTAACCGACTGAAACACCCAGACGTCCCTTGTTTTGTTTTTTTACAAATTGAAGGTTTGTGGCAACCCTGCCTCAGGTGAGTCTATTGTGCCATTTTTCCAACGTCATTTGTTCATTTTATGTCTCTGTGTTACAATTACAATTTGGTAATCCTCACAATATTTCAGACCCTTAAAATTGTTATTACATTTGTTGTAGGGATCTGTGATCAGTGATATTTGATGTTACTTTTAGAATTGTTCTGATGTGCAATGAACCGTGCCCATATAAGATAGCAAACTTAATCAGTAAGTGTTGTGTGTGTTCTGACTGCTCCACTGACTGGCTATTCTCCTGTCCCTCTCCCTTTCTTTGGGCCTGCCTATTCCTTGAGACATAACAATATTGAAATTAGGCCAATTAATAACCCTACAACGGCCTCTTCGGTAAAAAGAAAGGTCACACGTCTCTTACTTTAAGTCAAAAACTGAAGATGATTAAGCTTAGTGAGAGAGACATGTCCAAAGCCAAGATAGGTCGAAAGCCAAACTTCTTGTGTGGAACAGTTAGCCAGGTTGTGAATGCAAAGGGAAAGTTCTCGAAGGAACTTAAAAGTGCTACTCTGGTGAACACAGGAATGGCAAGAAAGCGAAACAGCCTGCCGCCAATATGAAGAAAGTTTGAGTGGCCTGGATTGAAGATCAAACCAGCCGCAGCACTCCCTTAAGCCAAATCCAAGGCAAGGCCCTGACTCTCTTCAATTCTATGATGGCTGAGAGAGGTGAGAAAACTTCAGAAGAAAAGTATAAAGTTCATAGAGCCCCGTTCATGAGGTTTAAGGAAAGCAGCCATCACCATAACATAAAAGTGCAGGTTAGGCAGCAAGTGGTGTTGTAGAAGCTGCAGCAAGTTTTCCAGGAGATCCAGCTAAAATAATTAATGGGAGTAACTACACTAAACTATAGACTTTTTCAGTGGAGATGGAACAGCTTTCTATGGGAAGAAGCCGTCTAGGACTCTCATAGCTTGAGAGGAGAAGTCAGTGCCTGGCTTCAAAGCTTCAAAGGACAGGCTGACTCTTGTCAGGGGTTAATGCAGCCTGTGACTTTAAGTTGAAACCAGTGCTCCTTGACCATCCCCAAAACTGAACACTCTAAAATGCTAAATCTACTCTATCCGTGCTCTAAAAATGGAACAACAAAGTCTGGACGATAGCACATCTGTTTAGAACATGGTTTACTGAACATTTTAAGCCTACTATTCAGGCCTCCAGCTCAGAAAAGAAAATTCCTTCCAAAATATGACTGCTCATTGACAAGGTACCTGGTCACCCAGGGGCTCTGATGGAGACGTACAATGAGATTAATGTTGTTTTCATGCCTGCCAAGACAGCATCCATTCTACAGCTCATGGATCAAGGAACAATTCCAACTTTCAGACCTTATTATTTAAGAAATACATTTGGTAAGGTATAGATGCCATATATAGCAATTCCCCTGATGGATCTGGGCAAAAGAAATGGAAAATTTTCTAAAAAGCAATCACCGTTCTAGATGCCATTAAGAACATCCACGATTCGTGGCAAGAGGTCAAAATTTCAACATTAACAGGAGTTTGAAAGCAGTTGATCAACAATCCTCATGGATGATTTTGAGGGGTTCAAGATTCCAGTGACAAAAGTAACCATTGATGTGGTGGAAACAGCAAGAGAACCAGAACCAGCAGTGGAGCCTGAGGATGTGACTGAATTGCTACAATCTCATGGTAGAAATTTAATGGATGAGGTGTAGCTTCTTGTGGATGAACAAAGAAAGTGGTTTCTTGAGATAGGATCTACTCCTGGTGAAGATGTTGTGAAGGTTGATGAAAAGACAATAAAGGATTTAGAATGTAAATATTCTAGGCAAATAAAATAAACAAAAGCATAAACGTGATGAAAGCAGTGGCAAAGTTGGAGAGGACTGACTCCTAGTTTGAAAGAAGTTGTACCACAGGCAAAATGCTATCAAACAACATTGCTACAGAAAAATAATTTGTGAAAAAAAGAGTGAATCAATACACCAAACTTAATTGTTGTCTTATTTTAAAAATTGCCACAGCCGCCCCAACCTTCAGCAACCATCATCTTGATCAGTTAGCAGCCATCAATGTCAAGGCAAGATCTTCCACCAGCAAAAAGATAACAACTTGCTAAAAGCTCAGATGACGGTTAACATTTTTTAGCAATAAAGTATTTTTTAATTAAGGTATTAAGGTATTTAATTAAGGTATTAAGAATACATTGTTTTCTTAGGCACAATGCTATTGCACTCTTAATAGACTACAGTGTACTGTAAGCATACCTTTTATGTATGCTGGGAATCCAAAAAATTCTTTTAACTTGCTTTATTGCAGTGGTCTGGAACTTAACTGGCAATATCTTTGAGGTACGCCTGTACTTGTGTA